CTCGAGCAGAAATTAATGTATCGAATGAGGTTCTAGGTATATATATATATTTATCTATAACGTATTCGTCTCTAACGGTTCGTTGGTCGGGAGGAGCGATCGGATCTACCAGGGCGCAAGGCCGGGCCCCGCAGGTGTCGCCTTACAAGTTCCGGCTCGACACGGCGCCGCCCTCCCCGAGCGAGTCAGATCAGGCGCGGCGGCGCGAAGGGCTCGATCCAGGCTCCTGAGGTTCGTCAAGAACTCAAGGCATCTCAAGGCCTATCATCTAGCATGCTTCTATTGGCTCTTAACCAATGGCCGAGTCACCGATGAGTGTTTTGGGACAACACAAGGCTAGGTGAATGGGTGTGGATACCTCTGGATTTACATAGGTTTTCCCACAGTTGCCGTTGCCCTCTTTGGACATCAAGAGATCCAACTTTGGCGAAGATGTCGTCTCAGTCCAGTCACGAACGAAGTAACTGAAGTACTGTCCGGTGAGAGTCGGTTTCTATGGAGCACAGCACGGAGAACGGGATGCCCACCGGAACAGTCGAGTACCACATCTTTTGGAGTTCCTCCTGGGCGGTTTCCACTGGCTGCGACCAGATCGAATTTCTATTCTTTTTTCAAGTTGGGGTTTGGGCTTTCACCTTGGAAATCGAAATGTTGTGATAAGTTGTGATCCTGATTCGTTGAAGTTGCCTCCAAATGCGCTTGGAGGTTCCGGAAGCCCCACTGTTGCCGGTGGAGGAAGTCAGTGAGGAGGCGGTTGCAGGAGACCGTTTGGGGATGAGGGAAAGAGAGTGGAAGACGAGGACACGGCGGCTGGGAACGATCAAGACTCCTTGTCTACCACCGTGTTCGTAAAACGGCAGGTTGTTTCAAAACCTTGTAAAGAGGAGCCAAGCACAAAGGCAAGTAAATGACACATTAGGGAAGCGCACGAGTTAGCTCAAGAGGTTTTGGAGACCCCACTGGCCCCACTGGCAACTAATTAGATTCTGATCAAGCATCTCGTGTATCCAGAGGTTTTTGCATCGGAGTCTTCCTATCCATTAGATTTTCGAGCATTAAAACATGTTTCGGCCATGCCGCCATGCCCAACTGGGCAATTGTTCTAGTTGGCATCCTCAGCATGATGGGTAGCCTCCGACCTCTCCAACTGCGTCGAATCCTTCTCAGACTGCTTTGATTCTTGGTGATTCTCCATTGGAGCCACCTCTTGAAAGCATGAGTGGGGCTTTCCACATCAAGAACTCTAGCTCTTCCTACGCTCCCAAATCGAAAGCCAGGACGTAAACCACGAAGAACACTCTCATCGAACGCCACGAAAGCGCCGTGTCCTCGACCCAAAGAGGGCACGTCCAACCGCAGGAGGGGACGTCCCGGCCCGTCTCAGGACCGGAAGTCAGACCGCAGGCCCCTGAGGACAGCGGCAACGCAGTTTCTCGCGTCAACGGGCGGGTTTGGGACATCGAAGACCCACCTGTCCCATGGTGGAAGGGTCTTCCCTCCCACAAACATGAACATGTCAATTTTTGTCGAAGGAATCTTCCAGGAGTCAAACTGGCATGATTGGATGGGAATACAGTGGGAAGATATGACCATTGTTAGCAGCAAATTCGAGGTTGAAGAGCACTCCTTTTCGGTGGATGTGACATCGCGAAATATGTTCAAACACTCCAACCAGTACCTCGCTCTATCGCGACGTGTTCCCTTCCCAATCCTTGAGCAAATCTGTTACGAGATGCTATAGGAGTGTGTTTTTGCGTATCACATCCCCGCAACATTCACTATTCACCAATAAACTACTTCTCATCTTTGTGTCCATCGCAGATCGTCCTTACCTTTCCCGACCTTTCCGGTCGCACGACCTGAAGACGATGCGGAAAACCACGCCAGGCCGCCACCGATCTAGCGCAGCCTGCGGAGCCTGAGCCTGCGGAGCCGGAGCAGCAAGGTGGACCTGCCGGACATGCGCAACTGAGCTCCGCGTCGTGAAGCTGAATGAAGTTGAAAATAGAGCAGTTGTAAGGAGCACTTGCGATGACTTAGACTAGTTCACCACCGGTTTCTGATAGAAAGAAAATAACATGAAACCCAATGGATAAGTTGAATTTTTGATCATGTTTGGCTATTCCCCTCAACGTTGGATGTGATCCTCTCAGTGCTCCAGCATTAGCTTCTCCCCTCGCAGCGGGATGCGGCCTCCGTGCAGGGGAGTCCGAACCAGTGCGTCCATCAGGAGTGCCTTGGGCGTGGATGGCATGGCCCCGAGTTCGTTTCGGACGCAAGTCGATGAGCTGTTCCAGAACTTCGGTTTTTTTCAGGTTAAACCATCTTAAACCATATGATGCTTTCAGGGAGTGTAGACATTGACAGAAGCCATGGGGAGCCTGCAAGCAGGAGTACTTCAAATTAATTCCCTTCAAGGTACGATGGATGTCGTCGTTGGTTTGAACTGCCGACACCAAGCGGAGACTGAAGGCGGCCAAGCCGCCTGAGTTCGGAGCAGTATATGGTAGTCCAAGGGAGTCCGGATGCTCAGGTGACGGTGGTGCCCAAGTCGGGGGAGCTCTTCTCGGCAGATGACATTGCCACTGGGGCTGGCTGGGCTGGTGGCTTTGGGACATGACCCGGAAGGTTGAGAATCGGTATAGACAGTAGACAGTTGGGGAGAATTTGGAACAGACGGGAATGGATGGGAAGCTTCATTACTTTTACTTGAGGGGCATGAACATCCATCTTCAAACAAACTTCTGCAAGAGCTTCAGACCCTTCAGATCTTTCAGACCGTGCAGGTCAAAGACTGAAACAGATGGAAACTGGATCCCTCAAGACCACGGTGCTTGTGGCGTGGGCTTTTGATCCACAGAGCACACACTCCAGAGAAGGTAAAGAGTTTGGACCTAAGTTCACTTGCTATATTTGAGCATGAGTAAAGTCGACGTGGACAGCAGTGCCTTCCTGCTTGGATCATCTTAGATCAGTCCAATAATTGCTTCATGGGCAATTGAGTTCTCAGCGTTCTTGTGTAGGGAGGACTTTGTATGGAAGAAGACTCCGACACCCTTTGTGCTATGCACTGCTCAAGAGCACCTGTTCAACCGGGAGCCCATTTTGCTTCCGCGTCTCACTTCCGCGTCCGCGGCGATGTCTTGCGGTGCAGCTGCAGCCTGTCAGCCACCTATATATGCGCCTCTAAGGAGCACATCATGAGCAGCATCACTGGTGACGAGGCGACATGCCCATCCAGCGGTGTCGCTCCTCCGGAGATGGCCAGCCGGCCCGGGGCTTGGTTTGGAGAAGGGAGGAGGCGCCAGTGTAGCTGGTGGGCGCCAGTATCGCACATGCACCTGGTGGTTCAGAGATTCTGCATGTTTCAAAGGTAAATGACGGAAGGCAAGCTTGATCATGGAGGAATTTGCATGTCTTTGGGAGAGTTGAGGTGATGGAATACTGGAGGAACTACTTTCAGTCTCAGAGACCCGAACTTCACCATTTTGAGCCATCGCCTTTGGGAGGGCTAAGAAGTTGGCTTTTGCCAGGTCGGACAGGAACCGCATCTCTAACTCTGCGCAAAAAAACAACAAAACTTATAACATCTGCTGCATTTGCAGGCACCGAGCTCAAGTTTTTAGCCACGGCAGGCGACCGCGTCCCTGCTCCTTTTTTGGGTGCCGTTTTTACCAGCATGGGAAGTGGTGCCAGCGGTGCCAGCCGACCCGGTTCAGAGGAGAGACGGTGTGCCTGCATCTCGGCTGAAGCGCCATACAGATTAATTAGGAAGAAGAAACTGAGGTCATTTTAGGTCAAGAACCTGTGGCAAGCGGCAAGAGAGAATTCCAGATATACAGCTGTAGATGTGTGGTTGTTTGTTGAGAAGATGGTCTGCACAACAACTGCTCAATCTGCTTCTATGACGGTGCCCTTTTGATTCAACACACATGCATGTTCCGCAGCACGTGTTCCAAAGGCTTTCCAATGTGCGTTCGGTTCAGAAATGGATTTGTCGCAGACCTTGGTTTGTCCCAGGCACATCGGGTGGAGAAGATTCGATTCCGCTCAAACCCGTGCGTGTGCTTTGGCGATATGGGTCATGAGTGAGGGTCCATTGCATGCAGGGCCCCCCTGATCAGGTGGAAGATGGTGGAAGACTTGTTCACCAGCAGTCTTTTTGGGGGACTCAATCACCCCCAAAAAGCACCAAAGGGGCAACATGTTTGAGATCGTCGGCGTTCTTGTCTTGTGCTCACTGTGCAACTGTGCTGGTGAATTGATCGAAGTGACACTCGACCACCGGGAAAAAGACCGAGAAACCATCGGAAGAACGGCGGTTCACCACCGCTTCAAGACATAGTCTTCGATTGTCTTTGGCAAAATAACCTCAAGTGGCGTGGGAATTCTCAGAGGTGGATCGTGCATTTGGTTGAGCTTCTTGATCATATCGAGATATTCTAGAATAGAGGGACTAAGTAGCCAGAGAAGAAACTCCTTTCTGGCTTCATAGTGTTCAACCATGCCCTCGTCGAGCTTTTTGAACCCTGACAGTGTCTCAGTTGCCGAAAGAAAGAGAAGTGCACGTCCCTTCACTGAATTCATGTCTTGAGGTGTCAAGCCTGTTTCATCGAGGGGTCCTCTTTCGCATAACACAGGGGGGCCCCCGACCAAACCGTCCAACCGCCGACAAAACGGCCAAGGTGAAAGCCTATACTGCGGAGGAATGGGAGGCTGACTTCGGAGAGACGTGCCGACAACTCGCCATGGAAGAGATGACGGTCGAGAGCTGGGTGCCTGCGCTTGGCCATGCCAGCACAGCGAGCCATGTGAGCACGCCGTGCTTGGGAGAGATGTTTGAAGGCTAGAGGGGATGGTGAAGGGTGAAGGGAGGGATGAAGTAAATTCTACCGTAATTAGGCTAAATAAGGTGGAGGAGTGTGGCATGAGCTTTTGTGCAAGATACTGTATCTTATAGCAGATCTTTGATTTACAGAGCTCCCTTTGCTTTAGAGGAGCCTGCAAACGGTCGAACGCTGAAGCAGACAAAGATCGAACAGGAAGGCGACACAGTCCCCATAGTAAGCGCAGACTTCACCAGACTGATAGTAGCATGATAGCTAGTGGCATAGCGTCCTGCGAGCCTTTCAGCACATTGTTTCGACTTCCACACAGCCGCTATGCCACAGGCATTGCAGGTAAACAAGGTGTTCTTCTAGCAGTCTTCCTCCACTTTCCCGACACCCTGCACTTTGTGTGGTTTTCCAAGCAGGTTTTGCAGTTTGCGTGGGGAGAAAAGGCCAAGTAATCCGCTTGGTTGCGGTACAAACAGTTGGCAGTTCTGAAGCTGCGTTCTTTGTGCACATGAAGCCTGAAAAGTTGCTTTTTGCCAAGCAGAATTCACGTTACATGCTGACATTTTTTTTTTGTGGTCAGCTTGCAAATGACACTAGGAGCAAGGACGTTACTAGGAGCTCCTGGCATTACTACTAGGAAAAAGAAGCTACTAGGAGCTCCTGGCATCGCTACTAGGAGCTCCTTGCTCATGCTTGCTTTTCAAGGTCCAGGACTTGACCATATTGGATTCCAATTTCCTTCCGACAGACCTGCGGACTTCGAACTCACCAGGCACCTCTGCGTGTGGAGCACTCCAACCGCTGCTATGTGTGCCCTGGTTGGGCATCAGATGGGCTCTTTCATGTTATTTAGTCAGAAGACCAAGAGCAGCTGAAGATATATCAAGAGAAAACTATGGCCTGACATGAGTGTGGAAAACAGCACGTGTTTCCCCACCCCCCTTTCCAAACCATATGAATTGATCAACATTTGTCGTGGCATGGTGCTCCAATCTCGACTGGCTTCTCTGGACCAATCTTCCTGGACAGAAAGCTTTGAGGGACGGGGCAAGTTTCTCAGCTGAGTCGCGTGAGAATCTGCAAAGCACTCCAACCTAGAAGCAATGGCCTCCAACCTAGAAGCAATGGCCTCTGACTGAGAAGCAATATTAGGTTTGTACGATATCTTGCCATGAAAAGGGATCTTCCAGCGATGTCACCCACTTCAGTCCGCCGTTTGGACCCCCTGTTCGCTTGGAACTTTTGAAGGACAACAGTGGACATGGGAAAACCCTCTCCTGAGACTTACAGACCCGTTTTCTGAAGGAACCTTCTTCTCACGTCACGTCAGTGGGGGGGCAAGAACGTAACAACCATGCCTAAAAGGAGTCAGCCGATTTGGGTTTCTCAAGAGCGATCAACCGGCTGGAAAACCAGTAAGTAGCAAGCGGAGCGGACTCAAACAGACTGCGTTCTGTTGACACTGAGCCGCGAGGTCCAGACCTACAATGCAAAGCAATGGGAGCCGTGCCGAAAGCCCACCGCGGTGTCCACCGCTGCAGCCATGAACTCAGGAGAGATCAGTACAAAGGACAAGCAGCAAGGCTCGGGTAGCTTTTGCAAAACGTTTACGAATGAAGACAGAAGACAACAGACATTTCTTTGGGAGAGATGTTCTTTTTGGGTATCCTTGGTATCCTTTGTACACAAGTGATTTGCTTGGTGGTGTAAGTGACCACGCGTGCACAGCTGATCTTGGCCAACTAGAAGAATCGCTAATTTTTTTGCGGGCAACTCTCATGCAAGGGAGATATCCAGAAAGGGCTGGTTCGTTTTTGAGCAGGACGTGTGATTTTGATGGATTTCCAGCCTTTATCCCTCTCCTGTCCGTTTGCAGCCACCCATCCTGCAAGATCTTTGCCAGTTCCAGTTCTGTGCAGTTTCTATTAAGAAAAGAAAATTCAGACGCTTTGGACATCCAAGCCAAAGAACGGACTTGCTGACATGGCCTGCAGCGGCTTTCAGTGAGTCATTCACCGCTCTGGCAAAAGTGCTGCAGCCGCGTATCCTCGCTGGCCCTCGCATTTGCACCAGGCACCTGCAGCAGCTCAGAGTCCGGAGCAGATTCGAAACCACTGGAACCTGTGCGCGTGTCATGGCCGGACGGGTGAATCATCGGGTGTGTCATGGCCATCGACATTCAATGGGAGGATGAACATTATAGTATATGTGCATAACCATATGAGCAGTAGTATGAGCAGTAATATTGCCTCAAAAGTCATGACCCGGTCACTGGCAGGTCCGGGGTAGGTCCGCCAGTCCTGTGTTTCCATTTGCTCGTTGGTTTTGCAATTATCTTCTGTCTATGACATCGTCTTTAGGTCATTTTTGAATGAGGTCCCTTAGTATTTGGTCCCAACTTAGAATTCTCCACTTTCTGGATCTCACAGCTTCTTGCAGTGCAAATAACTCCGTGACTCTTTCCATTTTGGCTTGAATAGGGCAACTCATCCGTCAATTCAAGCACCTCTTTCACTTCGGAAGATCTGGTTTGCCGGTTTGCCTCCGGAAGATCTGGTGTGTCAGGGAGTTGAAGAAAGTGAAGCCCGCTTCGGTTCTTCCTTCTCGTCTAGATACATCGGGGGTAATGAAGCACATCCGAACTCGAGACCGTTCATGTTTTTCATGTTCTTTTTGTTTGTCCATCTTGATCTGTGTGAGGCGATGGGATATGCTGGAGATGAATTTGAAGCCCGCTTCGGAGAGATTTGCCGAAAGCTCGCAATGCAAGAGGGCCAAGAATGAGTGCTTGGCAACAAATTCGATTCGTTCCAATATGAGATGTCACTAGTCTTGGGAGGCTGAAACATCTGACACTCAAGTGTTTTGCACCTCTCCGACAGGAAGATGTCTTCCAGATCCAATGTTCATTTGATGTCGCCAGACGTTCCATTTTCAGAGAGAAGCATGCCCATGGACGAGCCGTGTTCGCTAATACCGCGACACGGTCTGACCTCTCCAAAAGCACACGCACACACACATACACACATAGACTTTGCATAGACTTGGCATAGGCTTGGCTTCGCGAGATGCAGAGCTATGGGACGAGCTTCTGATGTCATCATGATCCTCCCAGTTTTGAAGTGAGGCCTTTTCACATTGAAGTGGGCCTTCGTCTGGGCAGAGCTTACATTTTGACCATGTTTGACCCAAACCAATTCTCGGCGTGAAGGATACTTGCTGCACTGGTTGAATGCAGAGTCACTTTGGGTCGGAGGGGTGTCCAGAGCCTGCCAAGCTGACTCTGCAGGACTGGCTGCGTACGAGCCATGTCCGATCAAGAGATGCAGTGCGGGATACCACTTTGTTGCGATATAGTCTTTGAATTCTCACTACTCGAAGCAGCTTTGTTCAACCAGTGAAGCAGCATATAGGATCTACCTTCTCCGACGACGAACGTTTTTGCCATATTCTCAGCGTCGAACAGCCATCACCTGTGGCTTGTCTCATCCAAGCCCGTACTAGAACTACAACATGTTTGACGTTCCAAAAGGCGCGAGTCCAATTCGTTGTTTTTGCAAGTCCAACCGTTCATGTCTTCAACGTGCCAAGTCGGGGCCGAAGATGAGACGCGGAGCCATCGATCTGGCTGTGCAGCGCTCTCCGCCTGAAACAGGCGGTGCGAACTAGCAGTGATCCAAGGCTCTGAAACGAAGAGAGATGCGATGATGAAGATGTCAATCTTCTTGTTAAGTTTTTTATTTTAGAACTCTTCTTATGAAGAACATGGAAGAAGGAGCCCAAAGCTGGATTAGAGTGATGGACATGTCCTTTTATTTCAATCATCCGAATGGAGCCTGAAAGAATCTCGTGACCTTGAACATATACCTAGATCTTCATTGGGCAAAAAATCCACCTACAGTAACTTTATTTAGGCTGAACATTATGCCCCTTGTTACAAAGAACATCTAAGCAAGAAGTTGGCTATAGTTGGCTCATTCTGCATCTATGTTGCACTTTTTTCTTGGTGTCCAACAGGAGCGTCCACAGGTTTGTGGCTTGTAGCTGTGAGTCATGTTTGTATGACCCCTCAACACTACTCCTGGACGCATGATATCGAGACAGATTTCTGCCATTTGGTTCATTGGTCAACCAGGTTCCGCTGAACCAAATGACCCGCTGACATGCACCGCAAACCGTTCCGCTACCAGCGATTGCTCGAGCGAGTGGTTCAGTGTGAGATACATTATACATTAATTATGATACAGAATTGACGGATGGACACAACTAGTTTCATATATTATATGGCTTTGGCATGCACTTAGGGTTCTAATTCTACTTTTACATCCTTTTACTGTCTATCAAAGAACTTTGGATCCAGTACTTGCGCAGGCTGATCATGTGCTATAGTCTTTTTCCGAGAGCAGTCCTGGGGCCCTTGGACTTCAGGGGATCGGTGATGCAACTTGAGTCCTGCACAGCCTACCTATGTTGAGCACAGCTACCAATGGGAACCCATCGACTGGATCTCTTGGGACCAGCGGAAGTCACTTCTTTGTGGATAGGCGGACAACTCCCTTCTGCAAACGACGGATAGAAATGCCTTGTCCAATGTGTAAATGTAGACGGTGTTGTCGATGGACAGCTTGCCTCGACCACCTCACATAGGATATCCCAGGATCTACCAGACGGGAAGGCTGATGTACACGTAGGGTGTCAGCAAGTTCATCGATTGCTTGACTCGTTTGGGATATATGACTGTCCAACAGACTGGCCCCGGAAGCACTTGGCCTGCTCTTCTTGTTCCCGAAGGTATCCCAAAGCCGCCATGCGCAGGGATGCAACATTCGTCAGCGCGAAGGCGTCTTCGTTGTTTGGAGGCGCCTTTGTCGGAGAGCAATTTGCATCGCTTAGCGAAGCATGTGTTCCCATGAGAGGAAGGCACCTGGTTTTCACCCTCTTCCTTCTTTCTTCATAATGAGTGCCCCAAGTGACTTCCTTCATATCATTCCAGTGCTCGTATAACACTTAAAGAATGGGAAGTGACTTGAGTAAACCATCTGATGCTGAACCCAGTACCGCATGGATGTAGATGATCTTTGGATGCCACTGGTGATTCTTCTCTGCTGGGAAGGGGGGCTACTTCAGGAACGGACGTGTGCCTTTTCCGACCACTGCGGGCCGGCATCCACAGGGTGGCCTTGGTATTTAGTAAAATGGTAGATTTCAATAAACGGATGCCAATGATACCGCCATTGGGTTGAAGCCTCAGCAAAGTATTTGTGTTGCTCAAGAACATTCACCAACAACTCAGAGGATTTGAGAACCCACCCAACAGAGGTCGAGCCAAGCAACTCTTGCTTCAACACGCCGGTTCACCAGAATGAGGACTGTCCTCCCCACCCCCCTAGACCGGTGTCAGACGCATTGACGATCAGCACTGAAGACGTTGGGATCGGACCTGGACCAAGCTACGTGGACCCGCCTGCATCGTGATGTGAACCCTCCCAGCACACTTCTTCATCCGTTCCCCAAAGCCCAGCTCGTGTTCTGGAATTTCGTAGCTGTGCTTTCTTTCCAGAGCAGCCGTGATTTCTCCAGCTGCTTGTGGTCTCGGCAGCATGGACTTGCTAAAGGGCGGCTTAAAGGATTGGATTTCTCTGTGGACACGGTTCGAGTAGGCCAAAACCATTCAAAACCAAAAGACAGGAACTCTGTCGACTGTTAACTCTGGTGTCGACGGTCCAAACACCCGTCGCAGTGGATTTTGGGAGACCCGGATTCGTCCCCAGCGCTGGGCTATGTCAGGGCTGATCACTTGATCACTAGGACAGGACGAAAAGGAGGAGGATGGAGGAGGATTGTGCATCTGTTTGGTGTCAGAACGCTTGGTGTGCATCCATGGACCCAGCGAGGGGGTTGATTCATTCGGCACTGCAAGACGAAGGGGAGGGCCTCTTAAGGCGCCTCCGCGAAACGTATCATTCATGGTTGATAGATCTGGTGCAGGAAAGCAGATGGACAACCTAAGTCCGTAGAAAGTTGCCAGGATTGCTCACCTTTGCACCATTCTGCAAGGGTGAGGTGTTTTTGGCAGGTCTGTGCAATCCCTTTTGTCCAAGACGCATTGCCGCACGAGTTGGCACTCGCCAGTGGCGTGGCAGTGTTCGGTGTTGCCACACCGAAGCTTGGACGATTTCGTAGAAGAGGTGTGGAAGCTGTTGTGAATTGATGACGTTTTTGAGGGCCGATCTCGGGCAATGAATGATTTGACAAAGTTCTAAAGGATCAGTCGATCTCTGCCGAAGCGAGCCCAAAAAGTCCCAACACGTTCACACGTTCTGCACGCGCGAGTTCTAAGAAGGCCATGCTTTCTTGGTTTCGGCGGGTGATGTGGGTGGGTCAACTAAGTGAGGACGAGGCTCTTATTATCCTTTGTGCCGTACCAAGAAGCACGAACACTTGGTCAGTCATGGTGACAAAACAAAGGCTTGGGACATTGGGAGATGATCGAAATGCTGGACTATCTCCAAGCAAGCGGCAGCCCCTGATAGTCCCCCGTTAGGGGATGACATGTTTTTTCCAGCTTGAAGAGCGACCACCTGGAGTGTGAAAGGGTGACTGATCAATAGAGAGAGCGAGAGAGAGAGAGAGAGAGAAAAAGAGGTAGAGATAGAGGTGGCGGTAGAGAGGGAGAGTGATCCAAATCAATGTTTCAAGAACCCTGGTATCTCAAATGGCTTAAGGAGATGATTTTTGTTCTGAAGCCGAATCGATCCTATTCATCCTGATCGGGTAACAAAAAGTTTCTTGCGGCTGAGTCACTTCCCGCCCCGGAACAAACACGGTACGGAGATGTACAGAGTGTGTACTTTGTGTGGTGAAGCATGTGAACGACACCATTCGGTTTCTTGACATGGATGAGACTTGCAATGCTACTGTTCCTAGGCTGTGCTTTGCTGTTCCTATATAGATGCTGCCAAGGGCCAGGAAATGATTACAACATACAGGATTTGCCCTCAAATGTCATTTAGACTAGCAAGCAGCAAATCTCTTTCCACGCCCTCAGATGCCCCCTACGCATAGAGCAAGCACCAGCAGTCGCTCCCGTCGCGTTCACCACACCTTTGCCACGATGGGCATTGGCAAGACATCTGCTGTCACCTCTAGGGCTCTAGTCATAACTCCTCGAGTATTTGGACCCTCCTGGCACTGCCAGCCTGGCACCCAAACACATCCAGACGCCTTCTCAGAAGGTACTTGGAGCCCTGTTTCCTTTTGGGGGGATCATGTTTTAAGTTGTGTTTCAAGTCACCGCCCCGGCCAAGGAGAACTGACAGCCTTCGAGCGAGGACTTGGGGGCATCTGGAAGAAAGGGACGTCTCAGACCTTTCAACACGGCGGAATCGGACCAGTACGGCCAGTGGGCCAGTGAGTATCATCTCGATTTCTTGCACAAGTGTATGATTCCTGTCTCAGTTCAATACTTATCTGAACTTAAGCCAGTATGAGAGGGGTGAATGAAAGCAAATCCTCACAGCTCAGATATTGTATATTGTGCCCTTCATCGTCACCTTCCACTTCGAGGGATGACTGTGGACAAACTCTATTCTCTTGGACGTCCTAACCTCGCACCACATGCGGAGGGGGTTGGTTTTGATGTCCGAGAACAGACACGTTGCCATTCCGGAAAATGCTCAAGCCCACCCACCTTGATGTGGCAAGTGCTTTTCCACATGTTCACAGTTTGAAGCGTGGTGACGTGTGATACGGGCCTGTATTGAGGAGCCAACAAAGAGCCAAAGAGATCCCAGAAATCACATCTCTTGAACCAAACTGGCAATAAATCATCCAGAACTGCAGTTTGAGTCCTGCAAGAGTGACATCAGGTCGACTTGAAATGTTTCCAGACTGTTTGACGTGCGTTTGTTCTGGGCTCGTTTCAGCAATCTTGGCAAAAAAAACGCTCTAGTCTAGTCCTTGTCACCACATCACTTCATCCTGGTAACTCCATTTTTTTCCCAATTCTTCATATTGAAGAACGCATGCTGCACGGCCAATTGAAAGACGAAGGTCCGACAGCTTCAAGCAGAATACGCTCTCTGTTGGCCTTGTTCTTTTACCTTGAGATCTGGATAGATCTGTGGCATGCCTTGTGGCATGCCTGTCGTATCTGCTGGCCAAATCTGCCAGCCTAAACTCAGCAAGCTCCAACTAGCCAAGCATAATGGAAGAGGGCTCACGACCCCTTCTTTCCAGGAGGAGTGTGGGAAGACTCGAGAAAGTCAGGCCTTGAAAGCAGAGCGATTCATCTCACGGGGCTCACGGGACTGTCCAG